TCCTGTATTAGTATTACCCATCTTTAAGGTCATGAACAATTATCACTTCCTAAGTGAAACCATCCCTGACCATCGCCTTCATCTTTGCTATGCCCCGCCCCTTCCCTATTTTCCCCTTAACCAGAAATAATTGCCCCTCTGTGCTGCCACACCACGGTGCTCATCACTCCCAAAGCGCTCATCACATTCTATCCTGCACATTATACTATGTGACACTGTAGCCTACAGTACATATTCTAGCCATTGTGCAGTAACTCGATGTCATATTAGGTGCCTTACTGACTATAAGGGGTAGTGATGCCCAGGAACAAAAGAACACCTCAGGCTCTATTGCTCACAGTGCTTATGTCCCCAGTTCCCTGTGTACCCCAGCCCTTCCCAAGGCACTGGAGTGCAGGTCTGAGCAAACCCCAGCTCTGCACTTGAGGCATTTTCTGGCTGGGAGCAGAGACTCTGGGACAGATCTTAATAAACCACAGCCTGGGCCTTGTAAATATTACTCATTCCTTAAATAAAATCAGGAGCAGAGTTTAAAAGTGTGTGTCAAGTTGAACTATATTAGATTCTGACTAACCCTGATGTCTAAATATCTTTTTGTAAAACTCAGTGCAAGAAGGATTTTCAAACTTCCATATTTAAAAAAAATGTATACTGTATTTGTCACATAGTTTTAAAGTGAAATATATTAAAATAGATTATATCTATGATGTGATCATCTTTATTAAATACTTCTCTGTACTTGGTTTTAAGAAAATGAATCCTGACCAATGATTGGCTACAGTAAATAAAAACAAGAGTACAAAAGACAAATGTTTTCTGTGAAATAAACTCAAAATTTCTTGTGGGTCTTTTAGTGTCTTCACTGAAATTCAGAAAGGAAACAGTCCCGATGAGGCCACTTATATGAACACAGGGGGAGGAGAGGTCTCGGAAATGCAGATTATCCATTTGCAAAAAGGCTTTGAGGGGCCCTTATGAGCAAACCTGGGGGGCAGGGCAGAGGAGTGCTCAGGGACCCCAGCTGCTAGCCATTTAAAACGAGAACAGTTAGATGGCATCAGAGGAAAAAGAAATACCAAAAACTCAGTGGCGATCTCTTATCCCAGCAAAGGGCGGGACCCCGGAACAGGAACCGTGTTTACATCCTATAAGCAGGTCTCACACTTCAGCTTCCCCAGGACTGCTGTTCGGTTGTGGGGTTGTGGCCCCGCAATCTCTTCCCCCTTGTGATAGGCAGTGCCCACAAAGGACTGGGGTTCTATCTTCAAGGAGGCAAGAAAGGGGAGCTAGAAGACTGTACCCCCTTTGTATACATTCTTAGCAAGAAACCCCCAAAACCTGAGAGTTGGAGCAGCTAAAAATAGGAGCGTGAAGCCAGATTAAGCTTCTGAAGGCCAGGGTTAAAAAAAATAGTTAAACTCCAGGTATTACCCAGGCAATAAGCATCACAGTGGCTTTTCACAACAGAAGGCTAGGGAAGGGCACTTGTCCTCTCAGAGAAGTCAGGGAGCCTCTGAGGACTGCAGGGTGACCCAGGGGTAGGATTACCAGAGGAGGTGACCAGCAGGCTCTCTGAGTCAATCTACCATCATCCCTCCTAAACCCTGCCCAGCCTGCCTGCCATACTCACATTCAAGTTCTGCCGTGTGGCTGGGAGGAATGCACAGCCCCCGGGTCCTTTGGAACACATCCATCCGCCTCTCACACGTGTCTCATAGCCCCGCACCGGGTTACTCTCAGTCACTCGGTGACAAGATTTCACACAGAACTAAGTAATAGTTTAGACCTTGCATATAAAAACTTGCACTTTATAAAACAACTTCTTACAAAGCTCTCTTACATACTTCATTTAGATTTCATCACTAGCCAGCCAATTTCTGTAAGTCAGATACCATTATTCCCCTTTTACAGAGGAAGCTACAAAAGCTTAGAGAAGGCTAAGATGCTCAGCTTGCTTCTTCAAGGCCAAGATCATATTGATCAAAAACTCTAGAAATTAATATTGTATCAAGTAATAGCTGAGGGCAAGAACTTTCAAAGTAGCTAAATATATCTTTGAGTTTTAGAACTGTCATTTATAAAGCAGTCTAACATTGGACACATTACCTAACTTTGTAAAGTCTTAGTTTCCTCATTTGTAAAATTGGGATCATTATATTATTTACCAGTTAAGATCACTGTCAAGATTAAATGTGATAATGCCTACAAAAAGCATTGCCCGAAGTAAGTGCTGCCTAAATAGCAGGTGCTAATATAATTGCTATCACTACTGCCTCACCAGCACTAAATAATTGCTACAGAGACAGTGAGAGAGAGGCGCTCTCCCAGGTCTTTGGCTTCAAGTTGAATTATAAGTTCAAGTACACAACTACATGTGCATAGAGTCAGCTCTTGCCCAAAAACTAAGTAAAACTCTTCTTCTGATGTCAAAACCAATGTAATACGTTTTTGACGTACTCATCACAGTAAGAATCTGTCCTTTTCTTTGTTACTCTTCTCATCACAAAGGAGAGGAATAATGGAGAGAAGGATGTTGGCGCTTCCTCTGCTTTCTCTTCTAACCGTTCACGCTCATTTCAAAAGCAACAGCATGTCGGTAAGTGGCACACTCAGCTGGGTAAATTTTTTATCCTTTTTACTCAGGACAGGTTCCCAGTTACAGTCAGATGGACACAAACTCTTACAAGCTACAGTGCTGACCATGAGTTCTGGTCATTTATTCAGACAACATTTATTACCAGGCACTGAACTAGGTTTGGAACAAAAATGAGTTTCTAACACTTGAAGACTGCAAATAGTGTAATGAGTGATTTTATCTTATTTACTCCATACAATTATATCTGGCAGTTACTCCTAACATCCCTTCTTCTCGGATGAAGAATTTGGGGCCAGGGGTGAAATTGTACAGCTAGACAGCGGAGGGAGCTATGAACTCAGGCATCTCCTGTGGATTTGAATTCAATGACCTAATGTCTAAGTCCTCACCAACGAGTTACTGCTATGGAAGACCTGAGCAGAAGTGTCAACTTTCTAGCAAAATACTTTTCGGGGTGACAAGATGGTACAAGTCCTAATAAAGATGAGTGGGCAAGACCACATCTCAACCGACATCAATGAAGTACGGGCCATGGATATTGTACAAATAATGTGGACAGCCTGCCTGGAGCTCAGTCACTGTCATTCTTGCCTGTTTTTTTTTTTTTTTTAGACAATCAGCAACTGTGAAATAGAGCTGTTCTCTGTCCAAAGCAAACTGAACCCCAGCCACTGGGCTTCAGCTGGGGCCCTGGGCTTCAGCTGGGGCCCTGGGCCCCAGCAGTTGTTGTGACCGACGGGACTAACCCATCACAGACTAATACTCAGGGAATCCACACATAACAACACAAAACTGTTTCATAGGCACCCGGGGTGAGTGTTTCTATTGTATCGAGATTTAGAGTTATAGCTGAGGGGAAGGCAGACAGCACCTACCTCTAAACCCTAAACTGAATGAAAGACACGGAGTTGATTGAAATGAAGGACAATCATTTAACTTGGTTCTTACTACGAGTTTAAAACATGTGAGCTTTCTCCTTCTCCTTGACTGAAAGCAATAAAACAAAACAAATATCTCCATGGATCTCAGGAAAATATCCTGCTCATAAAGAGAGCATTTATATTCATATTCAGAATGTTGCTTTTTCCCCTACATGGCACATCTCTGATATTTACATTATTTTTGTTTTTAATTTCTCTGAAAATCTAACAACTTCTGCAATATTGTGTCTATCCTCTGGGGTTTCAGAGCCACACATGCGAGGCCTATCCAGGGGCTGGATCCACAGGGTATTAATAAAATCCAAACGAGCACTTGCAAATTTGAGAAATAGGAAGGAATTGTATTGCGTAGAAATGGGTTCTGAACCCTAGATCTCAGAAGTTCCCATCCAATTTCATGTATATATTTATATACACACATACGTATATGTACATGTGTGTGTATACGCATATCAAAACACATTCAAACCCGGATGATTTTCCCAGCAATCTCCGCCTTGGACTTCCTCTCTCCAAGCTGATTCGATCGGATCCATACAACCCATAGAAACCCGGCCCCTTGGAACAGGCATCGGTGCCAGGGCCCAGGTCCTGATAAAGCTCAACCCTTTTCTAGGGTTAAAAACAAGAAATCATGTTGGGCATGCCTGAGAAAACAAGAAACGGTTACCCTCTCGACAAAGCATGAAACTTACAACCTATCGCACATTTCCTGCAGCCGGTGGCACTCCTCTAACAAAACTGAAAGTATCCTGCCCTGTCTTCGGTGGCTGCCACATCACTACCCGAGGAGCACACTGCAGTGTGGGGGAGTCATGCACGAACGCACCACTCGGCCGCAGACAGTGACTGATCGCTTTTTCACAGCAGACCAAACTGTGGCAGCAGGACCCGAAATAATTTGCCTAACATCTCAGGGCAAAGACGGGGTGTCTCACTCTTGCATTGCTCGATTGCACAGCTTTTCAGAAAACTTGACTGTCTTCTGGGAACAAATAATGGCTTATTCAGATTGCTTAGATCTAACTCGTGTAAATTACGGCACGGGAGATTAGAAAAACAGGTAGTGTGTTCAGGCTAGCCCACCACCAGTCCCATTAATACCTTTCAACATTCCGACACATTTCCCCAACACAGTTCCTCTCAGCGAGAGCTGGACCCAATAAATCCACAATCCAAGGCAGGCAGAGAGCCTATCAGGGCTGCAGTCCTATTGCCCTGTGAATCAGCTAAATATTATTCCAAAAGTGAATTTCCACAGTACCAAGTTTAGATTTAACCTTTTCACGTCGTAGTAACACTTGCCAGCAACTTTGCAAATATCCCTGGCGCATTAAAAGAAAAAGGAACATCTTGGCACATGGGAGGGGAGCTCTAAAGTTACCTCATGCTTGTAAATAGTAGCACATAGAGCAAAAAGAAAAAAAATAATAAACTGAAAGAGAACAAACAGGAGTACGTACTTGAGAAGAATGTCACTCAAAGACTGTCTTCTTATGCTATGGCATGGGCAAGAGGAAGGAACCTTAACCTTTCGAGCCCGTTAAGAAGCGTCTGAGCAAGGAGCCCGCATTTTCAGTTTTGGTGAAATCGGCTCTGAGGCAGAAAGACAGGAGGCTGTTATGACCATGAAATTAGGAAATGCAGTAACTCAAAACTAAAGAACTAGCACCACCATTTGACTAGGAATGGAAAATCTCCTTACAGAATAGAGGAGGGGGTGGCCATCCTCGCTCCTAGCAAGGCCTGACTCCAACTTTCTTAGCCCCTCAGTCAAGGCAGATGTTTCACAGGGTAAGCAATCTGCTTAATCTGCCTGAATTTTTTTTCTGTAATCCAGTTGATTTTCTCCTCACTTCTAATAAAGCCTGAAGTCCAGACAGACATGCCGTTTGGGGCAAAAATAATAATAATAAAGCATTCATTCAGAACATAAATTTAATGCATCCAAAATGAGTTATAGCTAAGAGCAAGCACGAGGGTCCGTCTCTTGTGAGCATTTTTGTAACTCTCGTTCGGCCATTGACTGAACAGCTGGCTCCCCAGGGCTTGTCGCTGATTTGATTAGGGTCTTGGCTTCAGTAACCTGCAGAGGCTCGGCTTCTCTCTGAAGCCTGTCCTTCTGTCATTCGATCTTTCCATAAACCATCTGGCATTTCCTGCAGCCATTTAAGAGTTTGTGGGTGTTGTGTTTTGTTTACCCTGAGATAAACATTTGGAAGTAAAAAAAAAGGGGGGGGGCTAAAAAGCAAAATTGGAATTTCTTAAAATAATACTGGAATGGTAATACCTTATAAAGTCTGCTGTGGTTTATGCCCTGTGTATCATAAAGGACCTTTAAAATATATAGTATGATTTTCTACTCTACGGATCTTTGAAAAGGCTGGTGCTCTGGACGTGAGAACGGGACAGACGGTGAAGGGGAGGAGTCTCTGGTGCTGCCAGTCACCCCGGAGTGTCCGAGGGAAGGTTCACATCTGTAGGGCAACAGGTGAGTCTCAACATCGGCTTAGAAAAGGAAAAAATTCTCATAATCACCGCTTTCAAACATTTTGAAAGAAAGGATTTGAACTGTCTTCAATCTTCTCTGTACTTGTGAGTTACCCACAAAATGACTTGAATACGCAAATTTGCCTGAGATTAGTTTCCACAGAATATAGGGAGCATAAGGCAGGATACATTTTAGCTAATAAGTAAAGTGTTTAATTTTAATTTAAGAAACATGAAATCGCAATAAGATTCACTCGCAAAAAGAACAATCACACATACTAATGCTTTGTATGGGGGGTTATTACCTTTTCCTTAGTCTTATTATGATTTCTGCCAGCAGACTGGGTTTTTTTGCTTCAATAAAATGTTTTGAACAGTTTAAATTCATTGAAAGCAAAGTAGCTTTTTCAAAATTAATTAAACCCTTCAATTATTTTATTTGACAAAATGGGTGAACTATGCTTTTCAAACAGCATTTAGCTTCCGTTAAACTCATTTGTGTACATCAATACAGAGAATAAAATTACTTACAGCAACAGTTCTCAAAACAAGACACTACCGGTAGCTTCTGAACTGAAGGTTATAGATTATTTTCTTTTCATTAGAAAATATAACTGTATACTATAAAATAAATTAGACTAATTATCCTTAAGAGACTGTCAGTGGTACCTGTTTGCATTCCCAAAAGGGGCTTTCTCAAGAGAGAGAATAAAAATCATAGCAAATGTCTTCTGGGCACATAGGAGAGGTCAAATACTCTTCTAAGTACCTTCATAAGAACTCCATGAGGTAGGGGCTGCTGTGAACCCATTTTACAAATGAGGAAACCATGGGATACCAAGATTAAGTCTCTACACCAACATTTCACAGCTGGAGTCAGCTGGAATCAGGTGGTCAAGTCAGGCGCCCAAGATTTTAACGCTCCACTGTGGAATCGGAACCAGCACACAAGGACATACTGTGGGAACACACATGTTTACATATGTCTTCACGGGAAGAAAGAAATAGAGAGGTTATCAGTGAATGAGCAAGAATAGTTTCTACAAACTGATACAAAATGTATTTATAAATCCTCTTAAAATTTATCATTCTACTGAAATCACTAAAAATTAAAGTGTCTGCTTGGACTAACATTATTTTTAAATATTCTGTGCTTTCTTGGACTGAGATTATTTTTAAACATTCTGTGCTTTCTTACAGAAAAAAATCTCCTTTGATGAAAACTTTCCTTTTTTTTTTTTTTTTTTTTAGAGATTCCACCCATTTATTTTTAGAGAGAAGGGGAGGGAGAGAAACATCAATGTGTGCTTGCCTCTCATGCCCTGCCCCCGCCCACTGAGGATGTGACCCACAACCCAGGCATGTTCCCTCACTGGGAATCAAACCAGTGACCATTTGGTTCTCAGGCCAGTGCTGAATCCACTGAGCCACACCAGCCGGGGTGAAAACTTCCTAATTAAATTGTGTTCACCATTATTTGATAAATTGAATAATAAAAAACAAATAAGAAGAAAAGACCAATTTAAGCAAAGCTATACAATACTATTCTAGAAAGCTTCCCAGGTTCCTGCCTTCATTTAATGTGCTGTGTTGTTCCAGAAGGGACCACTAATGGCCTGGTCTCCACAAGCAAAGTAAAGCAGAAAATTGGTGCAATCTTTGGTGGGTCATTCAGGCAAAACGCTTCTGTGATCTGGGTGAGGCAGGCCAAAATGAAAATCAGGTTTTTGATTTGGCATGTGTGCTTTTGTCTGACACGCAGCTGATAGCAGAGTTTGGGACTCAATTATATAGTTAATGGCACAGATTCTTCACATGTCCTGGTCAGCAGAGACGTGGAATGGAAATTTGCAGATGGAAACCGAGCGCTGCTCTACACACTACCCGGATCCCACCACACCACCAAAGCTGCTCTGAGCTCCTGGTTTTCCCCGTGAAGTGCAGTCAGAATGGGGACTCTTCCTGCCTCAACCAGTACTGAGAACCCACTCACTCATCTCCCCAGACAACCAAGTCACACCCATATGACACGCAGCCCCCAGCTCAGCTCACAGCTAATTGGGCTTAAGATAAACACCTGACCGAGATAGGCCAGTGACCAAGGACATGACCTAGTGTGAAAAGATAAACTCGACTAATCACATTCAAGCTCTTGAGGGTATAAATTTTGGGAACCAAGACAGAGCCAGTGAGACACACAGACAGAAAGGAAGTCTTGGGTAGAGTGAAGACCGTAGTAAGCAAAGGCCCTTAGCAAGTGCAAGTATGCAGGGACAGAGAAAGCAGTGAGCCAGGATGCACAAATAGGGGGCCCTGGCCCGTGAGCACAGGGTGGGGTCTGGCTACAGCTGCACTGCTTACCGGTGGGATTTGGACATCACACAAACTCCTCCACAACCCCTATGACCAGGCATTTAATGGAGTCTGTCTCATGCCATCTAAAGAGGGTAACTGAAATCTCATCTTGGATCACAGGTACCAGTTTTTTGTTTTGTTTTCTTTTGGTTTGTCAGTTTGTTTGGCTTTTTGGAGGGAGTTATTTGTTTGTTTGTTAGTCTTTTAGCAAAAAGCACAAAAATCCAGCAGTCCTGTTTTCAATGTACAAGTCCAGATTATTTGAAAATAGCTTTAATATGACCGATACTTGATTACTCTACTCTCATTTACTCAACATTGAACCTTCCTAATTGAAACTTATAGAGAAGAAAAGAAAAAGTTTGTTCCTTCAAATACAAGGTCAGGCAGAAAATACGTTTGCAAAGAGATCAATAAATTCAATTAAACCTTCCATTTTACCTATAGAAAGGCCTTTAAAATCTGCCTTCATAAATCACATGCCTTAATACAGAAATGAATATCTATCAAGTCATGAACATCCTGGGTAAGGAAATAATTATTGAAAAAAATTATTAGGAAAATAAATGGGCTTTCATATTCATTGGGGTGACAAAGGAAATAACATCTGGAGAATACAGTGGTTTAAAATGAAAAAGCTCTTTACTCTGCTGAGCAAAGAGAATATCTCTCTAACCCTTTTTACTCCTCACAAAACCATGCCCCTTTGCCCTTCTCCCCAAACGCCAGTCCCTTACCACCACTCTTGTCCTTCAGCCTTCGTCACCAGGCACACAAATGCACACACTTCTCAGAAAAGACGGGACTCAGGATTCAGTGAGGAGTGGCCCTTCTGGTAGTTTACTTGCATGGATGGCTAAGGTGTCTTTCTAAGGGGAAAAGGAAACTTGACAGATTTCATCCAAGGCCAAGGAGTCAGGGCCAGAGAAAAGCCATGACTAAATACGGGGAAGAATTTGTCTCAATTCTGTCAGTGGCTCATCGTGCACAAACACCTAATACCTACTGAAATGAGAGATTGCTACAAAATGCAGAAGAAAAATCTCTGTAAGACATTGAAAGCTAAAGGAAGCTTTGATCCCTAAACCAGATAATAATGAGGAGTGAGGAGTACTCTTCACCTGGTGACACAGCCACCTCCCCCGCTCCCACTGGCATCTCTGACTGGCACCAGCAGCACCAGTCTTGGCTGACATGGTGGCTACAGCGGACCCTGCAGTGCTACCCAACTCTTCTAGCAAGTTCTGCAGTATCTGCTTATTTACCTGGCACCAAAGAAAGGAAAAATTTTAAAGGACCACAGGTTGTAAAACAGTTGATGGAGAGCAGGGTGAGAAAATTTTTGTTATTGTTATTTTCATCCTGCTTTTTTCCTGGGCTCGTACATCCTACGAACAAATGGATTACAAGAACTGCAGATTCCACCTCCCAAATATCTCCAGTCTCCACTGCTTCTCTTTTTTTCTCCATATCGTTACTGAAGCCTTCTTCTATAGAGGCTGACTGCCACCAGCCTCTATTTCTAGACCATCAAACACACCTTCACCAGATTACCTTCCTGACTAATCACCATCATTGTGCTATCACTAGAGCAAGTTAAGTCCCAACCACTCACCATCACCCAGATCATCTGGCCGTGGTCCATCCCTCCAGCCCCCAACTCAGATCGAGCACCTCTTTCCCTGCTCCCAGTGTCCAATGCTTAGGCTCCAGCCTCTCCCCCATCCCATCAGTTCTGATCCTGCCACTGCTTCAAGGTTAATCTCAAAGAACACCTCCTCCATGGAGCTCTTCCAAATGGCCCAACCTGGCCACATTGTCACCCACCTCTCAGTTGTCACAGCACACTGCTTACCCATCTCCCCTCTAGCAACAAGTACTTAGGAAGCATCTCCTCTGTGCCAGGCAAGGATGTCGGGACATGACCTTGAGTATACTGTGTCTAGGAAAGGGCATAAACACTTTAGCAGATGACTTGTATGACAATCTGGTAACTGATGCATCAGAACTGAAACACTTTTACTGAACACTTGGTAACGCTCTTAGGTAAACGGCAAGTTTTGTCTGGTGCTGAGTCACTTTCATGTGTCTTCCATGCCTCCTACAATCGAGTGATTGTACGTTACCTGGGCACGTGTCTTACTCCATCTAGATGGGTGGCCAAACTCACAAAATGCCTAGACACGGATTTTTTTATGCAAATATATCCCAGTTTGAATAAAAGGGACAGAAAGTCCTATCCATCTTCAATCCACATCCTTCTATCATCCCCATTATCCAAGGAGACGTACATTCACCTTGCTCTCCAAGCAATGAAAAAGGTAGAGATTGACCATCTTCCGGGCACTGAGTAGCTTCAGCCCCAAGGACATCCCTATATGGATTTGCAAAGCTTCTGCAATGTAAAAATCTATACTGGAAACTACTTTCCCCAAAGGTCCTTGGAATAGGGACAACAGGCAAAAAAATAAAAACATAGGAAACAAGGAACAAAACTAGATAATTACATTAGAGACAAGACATAGCAGATTTCAATTGCGCAGTGTTGGCACTAGGTAACATAAGAAAATAATAGCAAATAAAAAGCGAGCATTTGGTTCACTAGATTACCCTAATGCAAAATGTGCTTAAAATGGATACTAATACAAGTATAATTTTGTGCCATTATTTGGGCAAGGAACGTGTTTGCCATCATTTTGCTCAGCGCTGAATCTTTGTTGATTACTGTGTAGTTGCTCTGCTCTTTCAGAAAACCTTTCTGGCCTTTCCTGGTTTGCTCACTGCACCCTCCACCTGGAAAGCAAAGATCCACATGGAAGTTTTCTGGGGGTTGAATCTTCTGAATCAGACCTAGCCTTTTGGGCACGTGAACCTTTGTGCGTGTTTCTGAGAACAGTCTCCAGAAAGTGTGTCTGAATCTTTAAGA